ATTCGTAATTTAATGATTGAAAATCAAGAATTTGAATAAGAAGATTAACTGATACATATCCATTCCTTACCTTTTCCCGATTCACAACTTTTCCTGTTACATGTAACAAGGAACAGTCTTCTAGTCAAAAACTTCGATTTGAAGAGGAAGCATGGAATAATACTTTACAAAAAACAGATGCAATCCAACACTTGGCAGCTTCAACTATTCAAAGACCTCACAATAACCATAAATTTGGCAATCACAGTGATCATGCCACCTGTGAGAGAGGCAGAAAACCATCTCACGTGCTTTTTTAGCTTTGTCTTTATAAAAAAAAAAATAAAGAAGCTTCCAAATAAATCTATGCTGCTGCTTTCACAAGCTTTGAATTCCTTTATTTATCAAAGAGATACAGAGAGAATAATAATCCAAACATTAATTTCCATCTGTTGGGGGAGTTGAGATGAATTTTAGTCTCTGAAGAAAAAAGAGCATTCCTTCCTTGATACTCTAGAATTATACCTCAAGTGAAAAACCATTTACAAGTTTTTGATTCTTTATTAAGCACCATTTTAAATCTTAAACTCACCAAATTGTTTGTTAACAAAAATAATAGCACATCATCGTTTGATAGGTGTGCATGAACTTTTCTTTTTATTGTTTTAATGAATGAGCTGCTTTCGCATATGTATCAAATTGTAGTTTGTGAATAAAGAATGACTCATTGCGAAAAAGGAGCCGAACAATGTTCTTATAATATCCTTCTATGGTAGGAATGCTAATCCTAATCACATAAGTGGGTATGTGTAGAGATACAAGTGAATCCGCCTATAGAATAATCATTGTTTGACATGTGTGCGTAAACCCTGGTTCTTGTCATTTTAAGTTAACAAGTTACTTTTGGACACGTGTTAGACTGTGATTTGCAAATAAGGAGGAATGATTCTTTACATGGGAGGAGCCGAAGAGTGTTCTTCTAGTAATATTTTTAGGGTTTTAAGTCAATAACCTCCAATACTAGGAATGCTAATCTTAATCCCATATGTCAGGCAATAGCCAAAAAACAGCATCCATCCACAGAATCAGATTCCAAAGGGAATGCTTTCTTTGATTCCTCTCCTTAAGTTCCAACTCTCCTCACCTAATTATTTGATCAAGGTGACCAATTTGTTATTCTCCACTTCTGAAATTTAAGCAAAGAATCTTTACCTTAGCCACGGGACTGTTGAAACTCACTTTTTAATCTCCATATAAGCATCCCTAACTCAGAAACTTGAGATTTACCCAAGAACTTTGAGGGAAAAAAACCATGAAGATTGACAAGGAAATCTCTCATCCCATCCACCTAAAACACAGGCTCAAGATCGAATACACCGAGGTCCCGTTCTACTGCGACGGGTGCAAAGAAGCCGGAATTGGCCTCAAATACAAGTGCCAGCAATGTGAGTTTGATTTGCACAAGGCATGTGCTGTGGCTCCTCCAACCATCACCCACCCCTTCTACGACAAATGTGAGTTTCAGTTTCTTTACCGCCCGCCAGGCGCTGTGAGGAGAGTGTGTGATGCGTGTAGGAAGGATGTTGTAGGGTTTGTGTACCACTGCAGGAAGTGCGGTTTTGATCTGCACCCCTGTTGTGCCAACCTCCCACAAGTCCTGGATGACGGAGAGCGCAACTTTTACTTGTACCTCAAGTTATCGAGCGCTTGTCATCGGTGTGGAGGCAAGGGGCGTGGTTGGTGTTATAGGTCGGAATGCAAGACGTATAATCTTCATGTATCATGTGTGAAGGAGTTGCTTGTGGAGAGCTGGCAAGCCATGTATCTGAATGTCGACAAGAACAAGGTTAGGGAAATGCAAACTAGGATCCCGAGCCTTAAGGGGACGCTGAAAAACCACCATGGCGGAGGGAGAGGCGAGAAGGTCAGAAAGTGTTGCGAGATAGCTGGTGGCGCTGTTCGCATCATTGTCTCTGCCATACTAGGAGATCCTACCGCTCTGATAGGGGCCGCTGTTGGCGGTTTCATATCCAAGTAGAGAGTGCAGAAAATTGAAAACAAGTACATGTTTGGTATTTCTGTTTCTTCATGTTATTGTGTTGTATTTGTTACTTTGTTTCATGTGAATTCCAAGTACTGTGTGAATGATTGGGACTACGTGTCCTCCAAATCTGCATACTTCGTTATATTTGTGAAAAAAAATATGGATTGTGTCTTTTTTGTACAAGCGATATTTTACACTAAATTCATTTAAATTAAGAGAGATTTAAATTTAGTGCAGAAGGGCACACGGCTTTAACTAACTTGATTAATTCCAGGTTTGTGGATTGTCTTTTCTTAATCCAATATATTAATTTTCGGAACTAAAAAAAGGAGGTTGAAAGGAAAAGATGACTTCACTCTATTACCAATGGTGCATCTTTTACTTTATAGATAACAGAAAAAGAACTCCTACGTTCAAGTGATAATAGGGGAGCATAAATCAAACACAGAGCCTCGAATGGAGGAATTGATATTCTTAATCACTTAATTACAAGTCTAATCTTGCTTGCTTAACATTGTGAAATATAGAAGAACTGGCTTGTTCGTTCCGCAATGAATGCCAAATTTCCCTTAATTCGGAATTTTAAACCTCCTAGTGAAATTCCTTGAGGCCTTCTGCAATGACCAAACTACCTTCTACTTTACACCACATTCTTCCATTGATGGTAGGGCGCTTCAGTTAACCCCAGACACCGACAACGATACCAAAACAAGTCTGTCGGATCATGTACCATAGAACTTACCGAATACAGACTATGGCTTTCTGACATCTACAACGATGATGATGTTGTTGCCTCCTTCAACTCAACTTTCCTCATCATCATCTACTGCGACAAAGAGTGGGACGCTCGTGAGGGGTTAGCTTTTCTTATAGGTTTGGATATTCATGTACGTGGACAAAGTCAGGGGCAGTGGCTAGGCCTCGCGAATTCCAGCACCGATTGTCAAGCCACAGGCCACTTTGTTGCTGTTGAATTTGACACGGAGAAGCAAGATTTCGATCCTGTTGACAACCACATTGGACTCAACATCAATTCTGTACGATCAAACAAGACTGTTTCTCTCAAGCCCTTAGGCATTGAGATATCACCGGAGATACCCACCAACTACAGCGTGCGGGTAGAATACAACGGTAGGTCCAAAGTCCTCGAAGTGTACATGGCTATACACTCTCAAACTAACCAGCCAAAGAAGCCTGGGACACCACTTTTGAAGGAGACAATAAACTTGAGGCAGTACCTGAAAAAGGTGTCCTGCTTCAGATTTGCTGGTTCCACAGGCAGCTCAGCACTTCAGCTGAACTGCGTTTTGAAATGGGATCTGAAGGTGGAGGAAATGCACCCTAAAAAAGATTTGACTTGGTTGAAGATGCTGTCGGGGTTGGCGTCCCAATAATGGTTTTGCTACTATTCTCTGCAGTTTGGGTGGGATTTGGGTATGCGAACAAAAGGAAAAGAACCAGGAACGAGGAGTCCAATGTGCTCGGAACACTGAAGAAATTGCCAGGGATGCCTAGGGAGTTCAAGTACAAGGAGCTCAAGGAGGCTACCAATAACTTCCATGAGAGCATGAGACTGGGGCAAGGCGGATTCGGCATTGTTTACACAGGATCTCTGCATGATAAAGATCATGCAAATACCAACACCCCTGCAGAAACTGCTGTCAAGAAATTTTCTCGGGACAACATCAAAGGCAAAGACGATTTCATGGCTGAGCTCACAATAATTCACCGCCTTCACCACAAACAGCTTGTCCGATTAGTAGGTATGTAATTTTGAAGTTTTAATTGCCTTTCCTAAATTTTTTGTTGTAAATGCAGCTCAATCAATAGGTACACTGAATTGGAAACACCGAAGCAAGATCCTAGCTGGTGTGTGTCAGCATTGCATTACCTGTAAAATGAGTGCGATCAAAAAGTAGTGCACTGCGACCTTAAAGCCAGCAGCACCTTGCTTGACAAAGACTTCAATGCTCGCCTGGGAGTTTGGCCTTGCCCAAGCCTTGGATCAAGAGAGGAACTCATGTGCTGAACTAAACTAGCTGGTCCCGGGCACCGTGGGCTTACGTTGCTCCAGAGTGCTTTCACACAGGGAAGGTACTCCAGTCTGAAGTGTTCGGTTTTGGGGCAGTGGTGCTTGAAATTGTGTGTAGTAGAAGTCCTGGGATCAAGATTGTTCATGAACACCAGCAGTATTCATTGGTCGATTGGGTGTGGATGTTGCATTCAGAAGGGCGTATCAAAGAAGCCGTAGATGAGAGGCTAAAAAATGATTGTGTTTGAAGAAGCAACTAGCTTCTACTTCTCGGGTTGACATGTTCACCTCTGATTGCTAGTGAGAGGCCTCAAATACAGGCGGGTTTGCCAGATCATATCTGGAACAGGAACCATGCCGGCCCCTAGTGTACCTCCATTCAAGCCCGCTGTCATGTGGCCTTCCATGACTACTGCTACAGCAGCACTGAGATCGAGATTACACTTTCTAACATCATTCTTTCTAGCATTACCGTGTCTTCCTAAGTTACAGGAGAACATTGAATATAATAGCATTGCAGTGGCTTCAGCTCTTCCCCTGACTAGTTATTAAGCTCCTAGGAAGGCGGGGTTAACCAGCCATAGCGAGTTTTCTTACTGTATATAGTCTCCTCTTGCTTTAAGATTGGAGGTTTTTTACATAAGTCCGTTGTTTAGAATACGCTAATTGTGCTAAGAATTCTTTTAAAGATTCTACCTGAAATCAGTAAAATTACAGCATTAATTGTTCGTTCAGAACCTAAACTCTCTCAATTAATTTCATCAATTGTGTTATACCCGTGAGATTAGGTAATTTTCAGCCAAGGCTGCATAAATAGTTGTTAATTGAGGAGCACCGGTTTCATTAGTCGTGCAGAAATCAAACTATGGCCTAATATTTCATCTTTCAGTTCCTAAACGAAGAAATGAAACAATATTCTAAGTTCTAACTTCTAACAGATAGCACTTGATAGAAGAAAGACATATATATTGAAATGTATTTAAGACCAAGTCATTCTATGACCACCAGATTCTTGAACCATATACAAGTTCAATTCACCTGATATATTGAAATTGCAATGCCAAACTAAGCTACAATACAAGAATAACGATTATCGAAGGATAGAAAAATGAAACTCTAGTACCTTGAGCCTATTCTTCAAACCAAACCAAACTTCGTTACGAACTTCTTTTGATTACAGTCCAGCATTTCACTCAAGCTACAATCAGTTGTCGTCTGTTTCAAAAGTTTGTGTCGCCGCTCCACTCTTTTCTTCAGACCATGGCGGAAGAAGTCAGGATAATCAGCGACTTCATCAATTCGTCTCCCCATAACCTCTACCAAGTACCTGATTCTCGGTTCTAAAGAGTTGTGGATGCTCTTGATCAGAATGGGTGGATAACCAGACACCAAAGCCGCTATCTGTCCATCTTCAAATCCACTTCTCTTTAGAAATTCGAAATTGGGTCTCAGAATCTTGTCCACATCTCTACACAACACTTCCGGAAAGTTCATTACCACTGTCTGAAGACCCTGCTCTGTGAGACCTACTGATTTCAAAAACTCTGCCGTAGGGCGCAGTCTTTTGTCAACGCTATAACCCATGATAAACGGGTTCTTTACCAGTACTTTTCCAATCATTCCTTCTCTGGATAGGCCAAGATTAGCAAGAAAGTTCACGATTTCAGAAAGCTTTGCTTCAATGCTGTAGCTGATGAGCCTTGGATTGAGCAAAATCATTTTGCCAAGTTGCTTTTGAGGAATTCCCAGAGCCTCAAAGAATCCCAAAAGGGGACAGAGCTTCTCTTCCACGCTATGGGACAGAATGTGAGGGAATTTGGCAATGGCAGACGCAACTTCACGGGGCTTAGTACCAAGCGTGGTGAGGCACTCAACTGTAGGGATGAGCTTCTCGTGGAGAGCCAAAGTAAGTATCTTGGGGCACTTTGAGACAACAAAAGGTAGCTTCCTCTCCTGAATGCCAATACTCTTCAAATAAGCCCAATTCTCGGAGGCTCTTTCTGCTTGCGCGTTCTCAAGACGCTTGCACTTTTTGAGCATATCCTGAATGCTCTTATCATCAAAACCTTTATCCCTGAAGAACCACATGATACTAGAACCACCATTTTGGGTGGTGCTGGTTTCCATTATCCCCCTGAAAGTGAACGTGCGAAAACATCAAGCCCAAGCTACATTTACAGGTTCATATAAACCCAGAAACCTACTGGTGTAACAAGTAAACATCGACATTCAATAGTGGGTCCGGCTACAGTACTAACACTAACACGAACACCTGAAAATACCATCGTCGTGGCCCGCTGTAGCACCTCTTCAAGTTCAATAGTATACTACACCATCTGATTGGTCTAATACACCGTCTGATGGGTTGTTTTATAGGTGTTTGTAATAATACGTGTTTATAACGTAAATAAACCGCATTCAGCAGATGGCCATGATGAAAATTAACAAAATCAGTAAATGGGCAGTCATAAAATAAAAATTAACAACCTAAACACTGCCATAGAATAGTACTATCAGATTATAAATGCGCAGTTAGGCCAGTTGGCCAGGACAGTGTGCCCGCCCTCTCGCACTCGAGTTCAAATCCCCCTCCACCATAGAATTGCTTATTTCTATTCTGAATTCGGCAAATATATACATACATGTATATATAAACATACACACAGAGTGAGAGTCACATACCTATGATTCAATCTGTTGCAGCAAAAGAGAACGGCAAAAAAGGGAGAGACTTTGCGGTTGTTCCGGCAGCCGCCGAAAATTCGTAGGCAGTGGCAGTGAGGAATCAACAAAGGAGAAAGCCAATGCCTTATCTGTTGGTTTTACCTCCCTCTCCATTTCAGCAGGAGTTAAGTCCGAATTCCGTATTTGCCCTCATTGTCTTCTCAAATGACCAATGTAGCCTTTGCCGAATATGCCACGATCAGAGTCCTCTTTCTCCTCACTCGGTTCGAATTGAAACCCCAAAACCCTAAGCTCTCCCTTAAACCCTAATCAGAAACTCAAAGCTCGTAACTTTATCGATCAGAATCTCTCGGGGCGATGCCATCGTTTCAGGGTCAGGTTTCCAAGCACATCTTGTCCACTATTTCTAACCCTCTTCGCCAATCAACGAGCTTGTCGACGAAGCTACGTCGTTTTAGCACCACCGCCGATCGTGGCGGTGAAATGGAAGCACCATCGGAGCAACAGCCGCCGGAGCCCATACCCAATAGGCCCTTGAGAGGCCAAAGACCATCAAATCCTCAAACTTCCAATCTTCAGTTTCTCAACAAAAACTCGCCCATTTCAGAGAAAAGGAGAGAGAGGCCTTCTTCTCCGCCATTGCAGGACAGCAGCTTTCTCGAAAAGCTGAAGATGGGTCTCGACAAGTCGAAGAGGGAGGAGCCTCAGGAAGTTCCCGAGCCGCCACAGCCGCCCGAAGAAGCGGACCAGATATTCAAGAAGATGAAGGAGACGGGTCTCATTCCCAATGCCGTGGCAATGCTTGACGGGCTCTGCAAAGACGGGCTGGTCCAGGAGGCTATGAAGCTTTTCGGGTCGATGCGTGAAAAGGGCACGATTCCTGAGGTTGTTATATACACTGCGGTGGTTGATGGGTTTTGCAAAGCACAGAAACTTGAAGATGCTAAGAGAATTTTCAGGAAGATGCAGAGCAATGGGATTGTTCCCAATGCTTTTAGTTACACTGTGTTGATACAGGGGTTGTATCGGGCTAATATGTTGGAGGATGCTGTTGAATTTTGTAGCGAAATGTTGGAAGCCGGTCACTCGCCCAATGTAACTACTTTTGTGGGGCTGATTGATATGGTTTGTAAGGAGAAGGATATGGAAGAAGCTGAGAGTGTTATTGGGAAGTTGAAGCAGAAGGGGTATTTGGTTAATGAGAAGGCTGTTAAAGAGTTTTTGGACAAAAAGGCACCATTTTCGCCGAGGGTTTGGGAAGCTATCTTTGGGAAGAATAAATCGCAGAGAGTGTTTTGAGTTCTCTTGGTTATCAGAAGTATAAGAAATTGTAAGTTTTGCTGTTCTGCTGTTGATCATTTTAGATTGAGTTTCATTGGCTTTGTTAAAAGCGTGTTGCCCCACTGTATGAGTGGCGGCATGGGAAGAACATAAATGTCACCCTTGGAAATTCACTCTATTAATAATGGTCACGATTCCTTGTGCTTTATATGGTTTTCCAGGATCTTTCAGCATAAGCTTTTTTTATCATATTTTCTTACAGTTCACATTTGTCAATGTAAATATCATGGCACTTCTGATTACTAAAACACTACTCTTTTAGCGGAGACTAGGATTTATGACCTGGATCAAGTTTTCTTAGTTCAATTAGATTGCGCCGTTTATAACCTAGATCAAGTTTGCTTAGTTCGATTGCCTGATTTATGCTCTTGATCAAGTTTGCTAAGAACTTCACATAATAGCTACTTCCTGTCGTGGTTTTTTTTATTGATACTTAACAAGCTAAAGTTGTTTAAGAATGTATTGTAATAGCTAATGTTGTGTTTGCCTTTACTCTGTTGTGTTGCTGAGTCAATCATTCCGACAAAATCGAAAATGCTCATTGGCACATTCAAGAAAACATAGTTTAAAAGGCTAAGGAGGGGAGATGCTGGTGCTAGTTTTGTGTTCACAGATTGTGATGGAGGTAGTACATGTGAGTAGTATCAGTGAAGGAAAGAGGGTCTTGAGGAGAAGACAGATTGTGACAGCAGTAGTAAGTCTATTAGTGGCTTGAGGGGTCAACTTGACTTTATATTAATCATAAAATGGCAGTAGATGTAATTTGGTGGTTTTAGAATTAGTAGGAATTATTCTGAATTAGTTAGTATTAATAGCAGCAGCAGCAAAAATAGTAGTTCCTCAGTTCTAGGTTAAAGTTAGGACTTAGGTAAATTGATGGCTTCAAAAGATTTGTTTCACTTTGTATTAATCCATAATCCATGGAGGTAGTGAAGCTAAGGATGTGACTAAGGTTGTGATGGTGTAATTAGTACTACTCCTAGTTGACCCATCTTTATGAATGGCTGTGATCTCCATATTATGAAGAGGTGAACATAAAACTGACCTGTTGAATTTGCTACGTTATTATTGAAGCATTGTGAAGACAGACACAGTTCTGCATAGGTGCTTAGACGATTAGATGAAAACATCGATGGAGATAGTTCCCCTATGTAAAGGCTACAGAGCTTTTGACAGGTCGTCGTACCCAGTGCACAAGGCTCCCGCTTTACGCAGGGTCTGGGAGAGGTGAATGTCGGCTAGCCGTACCCCCATTTATGATAGAGTTGCTACGGTACAGGGTGGTAGATTTCTTTTAAATTTGTGGAAGCTCGATCATATAGATAGAGATACAAAGTTCTAATGATTCTCATTTATTTGTGGTTTTTCAATACATTGTTTTTCCTAGTTATCTGAGTGCAAGATTTTACCTTTGCGGCCAGTTAAAACTTATGTCAGGAAGCCCGGTACTTAACCATGAATTGTGCAAGTTCTGGATAATTCCTGCTCTTGGTTGCAGGTGCAAACCCTTCAGCAGGTTGTCTGTTTTTAAGGAAATGTATCTTGCTGTACATCAAACTGAGTGATTGAAAATCCAAGGAATATAGTTTGTTTGTGCTTTCAATAAGTTGATTTTTGTACATGTATGGAGCTAATCAATATTCTTAAGGAAATTTCGTAACGGGGATGTCAGTGTGGCCTATACCTAATTAATTATGTACTATCATGTGCAAAAGTTAACATGACATACCCCATTGTGGATAAGGTTATCCTGCGGGAAAGTAAGCGTAACAGTGTGTATGTGACTTTCACTGACATACCCCATTGTGGATAAGTTTCTCTCTGTTTTTTTTTTGTGGTACTTGAAAATGCTCCCAAGCTTGTATAATATTCATTGTTCACACTGTTGCCATAATTATACTCTTTGGGCGGCATTAAATTTTGTTGCCAACCCAAACCTTTGTGGAGTGAGGGAGGGAGTGGTAGTGTGTGTGCCAATTGGACAGCCCTCAAAACAAGCAACCGCGTATGGCAAAAAGCCCTGGGGGGTTGATGTCTTCTCTCTTGGTCGGTTATTGTTTATTCCAAGTGAGAGCAAATTGTGAAGGAAGAACATCACCGACTGAGAAAGAACGTCAACCCCCCTCGGCTCTGTAAAATTTTGACATTCTCCATGCTCCGTAAGATCTTCGTGATTTGGTCAGCTTTTATTTATGTATTTCTTTCTTTCTTTCCAATGTTGTATTTTAAGGTAGTGGTGGTATGTGGTCATACCTAAGGATAAAGACTAGGGGGAACTGTCCCATTAAGGGTAGGGATACATGTAGCATGTCTCATATAACCCCATATTAACCAATGAGCTTTTCGTTGGAAAACTCCAGAATCTTAGTCCTTAGAGTTAGGGTACCAACTTGTATCTCAACTTTTGAAATTTCAACTGATGTGGTAGCACTCTATCTCGTATCAACAAGTTTCATGCGCGAGTTTGTAGTTTTTCGTGCAAGAGCTTGTTTGGATTGGGTTGGTAGAACTAGAAGCCCATGTACTCAATATGATGTCGATGCACCCTCGATTGGATTATGAATGAAATTTCAATTTGATAGAACAAAAATTGAAGCGGTATCATTTCATTTTGTTTAATTCGATTCCACAGTAAATCTCATTTATTGAAATCAAGTCAGCAACTTGACATATTATATTCAACACCGGTTGTTATTTAGAAGTCGGAATAATAGTTAGCGCATGTAGCATAAATCATGCGCAGATAATCATTTACTAACCTTAATTAAACATGGAAACAAGTTGAACCTGAGCTAAGGAGCTGATTACGGAGTCATTTGAGCTTTGGTTTTGTGTGTATTAAGGTACTGTTTTAAATAATATGAGTTTATTATGCTAATGTTAGGTCTTTAAACAGAGGGCTAGCCTCCACTTTGAATACCAGATATGGGAAAACCAGAAGAGATCTAGCTATTCAGATCTTTCTTGGACTTTGAGCATCATCAGATTCCTTTAGTGGACCAAAATACTAAAAACAATTCATTAGGGTTTAATCAGACAGACTTATCAAATTTTTTACTATATTCACACAGTGGATCTATCTAACGTGAGAGTTGGCTTAATCAGACAAACTTATCGAAATTTCCCTCATATCTCTTTATAAGTTATATAGAGTAATGTTTTCTTTGGAACCATATGTTGTCAGGCTCGAAACATAGGCCACATTTTCAGACAACAACCAATTTGATTAATGAATTAAATTTATAGTCAGATAAGAGAACATACGTCAATTATATCATCCCCAACTTATGTTCTATGTGATGATATTTCAGTTATGCTGAAATTTGCAAATGTTTATTTGGTTGTTGCTAATAAAAATTGCAAGTAATATTCTTTTACCAACTTCTACTTTTGTGCTATACAAATTTGAAACCCTAAACTTTAAACATTTGAACGCTAAAAAAAAAAATTTTGAACAAAAAAAAAGTATCAACATAAAACAATGCTTCATATACTGGAATTTATGCGTAATTTGTTTGGGTAATTGGATGATCAATCTAAGCTCGTCCATTAGAGCATCATCAATGGTATAAGCAATTTTAACAAACCATATTATTTACGCCAAAAGAAAGGGGGGAGTGAGATAAGCCTCATAATGAGTTAGCAATAATGTGATTCAAATTCGCATTTGGAGAGAATCGAACTTAAAATATTTTACTTACAAGCAATTAAAGTAAGCAAAAGTGTGCTATAATGGTTGACGTGGTATGTTACCTACTCAATTGCCTCATTAAAAAAGTTTGTCACACTAAGAGCATCTCCAA